AAAAGAGATCTCAGTTGACTGGGGCCACGCTCCTAAGGTTACTAATGTTGCATCAACAACAACGTATCATTCTTGATCTTCTAATGCCCATACTAACTCTTTTTGTTGCACTATTTTCCTGAAAGAACCAACTTCTTCTTAAAACAGGCACGAAGACATGGGTCCAAAGAGAAGTCCTCCAAGAAGCACAGAGCTGAAGAGCATAACGACAAAGACCACTTTTCAGATAAAGGGAGGGAGAGCCTGAACTCTTCGGAGAATGGCGAGGATCGGCACAAGCGCAAGGAGAGGAAGCCCTCCAAGGGACGCAGCCATTCAAGGTCTCGTTCGCGGGAAAGGTAGACTCCTAGTTTCCTTCCGGGTGATAAGTTTGGAGAGGATCCCGGAGACGGTTGACCCCGCTCACGAAAGAAGGGGAGCCGTGAATTTGCCTACTTGGTGAATGTTTCTGTCTTCTCAACAAACATGCAGTGGGGGTAGAACATTATGTGTCTTTGTAACTGGATTTTGTGGTCACCACAGGTTAACAATTCACATAGTGACTCCCAAGTGCATTACGACCATTGTTCACACTTACGACCATTGCAGCATCCCTGTGGTCATGTGATCTACATTCGGATGCTTGACAATTGACTCACATTTATGACGGTTGCAATGTCCCATGTGTGTGTCACGTGATCCCCTTTTGGGACCTTCCGTAAGCAAAGGCAACAGGGAAGCCAGATTCACGTAACAACCGTGAGGCTAATTTAACAACTGCAGAGATTCACTTATCAAATGTGGCAGAAAAAGTGGTAAAATGGGGCAAAACTCACTTGACAGATTTGTCACTTAGCAACATAAATGGTGGGCTCAATTGTGGTTGTAAGCCGAGGACCACCTGTATTTGTTTCTTCAGCCTAGATCCAAACTCTTATAGTTAACTAGATTGAGGATGTCTTGGATTGCTTTTCTTACCATAGTTATGCCTTAATCTCTGCCACAGATTTTTCTGTAGAATAGCAATGCTGACTCGTGTTTCTGCACTCCTTCCAGGGGAATATCTGCTAAATAATATAAGCCTAAAGACTTTCTCAATTATCTTTAAAAAAAATATACTCTAAGCAGAACATAATGCAGATAATACTTTTATTTGCGAGTAATTAAATGGAATAGTCGAACTTGGAAACATTAACAGGGATTTGGCATGTGATTCCAGGCGGCACCGTAGTCGAAGCCGCGATAGAAAAAAATCCCGCTCCCGAAGTCGAGAGAAAAAGCGGCGTGTGAGATCCAGATCTCGATCTAAATCCAGACACAGGCATAGAAGCCCCAGCAGAAGCAGAACCAGGAGTCAGAGCAGGTGTGTTGATGCTTTTTAAAGGATAAAATGTAGAGGGAGAGATAGGGAATGGGAGAACATGCTGTTCAGGCTCATTTGTGGCCTGATGTATAATTGTGAAGAAAGGAAAAATGAACCTCTGTGGTTCTGAACAGGGAAAGAAAGAAGAGACCCGAAAAACCACGAAGGTTCAGCAGAAGTCACAGCCGAACTCCGAGTCCCCCGCCTTTCAGGGGAAGAAATACAGCGATGGATGCTCAGGAAGCCTTGGCCAGAAGGTACGAGGCACATTTTGATTTTTCTTTGAAATTTTTTCTAAGGTGGTTTTCATCACACACGCACACACATACATTATTAATAACTGTGAAACTGGAAGTGGGAAAGTACTTCAGCCCCTTTGTCTTTTTCATCAAATGTATCTGTTGAAATCAAACTAAAGCAGCAACAGAGAAAAGAACTAGGTAATCTTTTGACTTGCGTGCAGCTTTTTCAGCCTCTCCTTGCTGCTTTGTTTCTAAATGAACAGTACAGTACTGAAGTCAGGAAACGAGAAAAAACCCTTTTCACGTCTTTGCATTGTTATTCCTAGGTTGGAAAGAGCAAAAAAATTGCAAGAACAGAGAGAGAAAGAACTGGTTGAAAAGCAGAAGCAACAGGAAATGGTCGCCGGTAATTGAACTTCCCTTTAAAATAAATGGCGCTAATAACACAGCACTACTTTTATTTCATTTTGATCTGTCTCTAGACTTTCTATTCTACCTTTTTAAAAAATGCCAGAAAAAGTAGGATGTTATGTATTTGGACAAAACCTGGTAAAGACTGTCTGCCAAAAGAATTTGTACCAGTTTTTATGACTTGTGAAGCCTGGCGTATTAGACAGCCGGTGCCTTTTGAAGAATAACGGTTTTCTTGGTTTCAGTGGCAGCTGCCACCGGCGGGTCAGTCATCAACGTCGCAGCTCTCCTGGCGTCAGGGACACAGGTCACTCCTCAAATAGCCATGGCAGCTCAGATGGCAGCCCTGCAAGCGAAGGCTCTGGCCGAGACAGGAATAGCCGTTCCCAGCTACTACAACCCAGCAGCAGTGAACCCCATGAAGTTCGCCGAGCAGGAAAAGAAGAGGAAAATGCTGTGGCAGGGCAAGAAAGAAGGGGTAATTCTCCTTGAGGCTTTATCTTTGATTGGTTACCCATGGGGAGTCTGCACGCTAATGTTTTCGGAGGCAGATCAGGGCTATGCCTGGCTGTGCAGCTCTTTGCCGTTTTTGGAATTCTAAGATGGAAATAACTTTGAAGGGCTCATTCACAGGGCCAGAAATGGCCAAGATGATATAATAACTAGTTGCTAAATAAAAGCCCTTGTGTACTGAAAGTTTGAGAGGGGGTGAATGGGTTAGAGAGGAACGGTAAAAAAGAGAAAACTACCTTTTTACGTGAGAAATCTTTTTCCAGTTGCTACATGTCGGTTTTTGTTTTGTAGGATGAATATGCATGCAACCTATAAAACCTCACTACTTCATTTTTTTATATAGGATAAATCACAATCTGCGGAAATCTGGGAGAAACTGAATTTCGGAAATAAGGACCAAAACGTCAAGTTTAGGAAGTTGATGGGTATTAAGGTAGGTGTTTCTAAAATGAGCTATGTCTTTATGCCAGAAAGATCAGCGTGAAGAGACCTGTGTGGTCTTGGGCAAGGCCTACAGGCTAAGAAACAACACTTCAGAGTGGTCCATGGAGTGAAGTCCCATTCTCGAGGTAGCTGGATGAGTTAAAAGATAAGCTCAAACAGTGGGAAAATACAGATTTGGATTAAAACGATCTCCAGGGGATCTGATTTCATCCTTTATATACCGCAACTTTTCAGAGCAGATTTGGAGAAGCTCAGTTGGGGAAGAGACTGCTTATGCTGGTGAAAATTATGGGAACATTAATGGAGACTTTGCAGTGAAGCTTTGCCCCTGAATCTTTGTTGTGTGCTTTTGTTAAGCTGGGTGCCGTGTATCGGAGCAGAAGAGCTGGGTCCGGTGAGCCCTTTCGGTTGATGCTTTTCTTCTGTTTCTCCTAGAGCGAGGAGGAAGCCGGGGGCAGCAGTTCAGTGGACGAGGAGAGTTATAAGACTTTGAAACAGCAAGAAGAAGTCTTCCGCAACCTGGATGCACAGTACGAAATGGCCAGGTCACAGACGCACACCCAAAGAGGAATGGGGCTGGGCTTTACGTCTTCGATGCGAGGAATGGACGCCGTTTGAGGGAAACGCCTTCGGGCAGCTTTGAGACTCCGACCAAGATTCCGTGGTTGAGATGTTGGCTTCCTCCTCGTTCACCGAAAGCTGGCATCCTAGCTTGCATGGGTGTTAACATTGACTTTTTATTTATTGACATTACAATTTTTTTTGTAAATACCAGATCAGTGATAACTGGTGTCCCATGTTGTAATCAGGTTATTATACTCACTTCCATTATACACACGCCAGAGCTCCAGAAGGACGCTTCTACTTTGGTTTTCAAACAGAACAGCCGAGGGTGAACTCGCCACACGGATATTTTGTGTCTCTCGTGTACTTTTTTGTACTTTAAACTTGTACAGTTATTTTCAACTCTTGGAACATAAAAACACATTGTGTTGGTGTTAAAAACTAGCAGAACGGGCCCGTTGGGTACATAAATGCAGTGCAACAACCTGGTTAATAAAACATGTTTTTTTCTCAAGTAGTATTTAAGTTTAGTGGATAAATTATTTCACGATTAATTTCACAGAGTATATTTTTTAGATAAACGCTCATCCTGAGGCAGGAAAGTAGAGGATAGAATTTAAGTAGCAGACCAAGAATACTGCAGGTTATTTGTTAGCTATATCAAAATACTATATCCTAATTATGCTCTTCTTATCCAACAATTCTTTCCTCCCCGATTTAAGTAGTTTTGTTCTGTGAAAGCTCTAGTTGAATACTGTAGGATAAACCCCTCAAAGATACTGTGTTTTAATAGCCATTGCCAGATTAGGAAGTATTTTAACAGAATGTAAAAAGCGAAATGTAAAGTCCCGTACAAATATTAAATGTAAGACAAGAGGTGGCAGCAGTTGTGGAGGAAAGGACCTCAGGCATGTGAGGAAACAGCCTCTTATAAATAGCCAAAATTTGATATTGGCATCACCAATGCCCCGGGCTGTAGTTCTCAGTCCCCACTTTCAATCTGTTATTAAAGCAGATTAAGACAGACTAATCAATCGTATTAAACCTCAATATCTCCCCACGCCCAACAGAGGCAGGTTGAGAATAGGGATGGCGGGCGGATTAAAATCTCCAACGAGTTTGAGGATCACAAGTGTTCAGAATTGCAGTTTTATTTGGAATTTGGCCAAAAACAAACCAGGAAGTGCGTGCTGTGATTGATGGTATCTGCAGAGGCAGTTTTTTTATATCAAAGTAGCAGGTGCTGATAATACTCTTATTAAAGCGTTAAAAAATATACAACATGCATGGTCTGTTCTTAAATACATTTTTGGATTTTTTTTGCATGCCTTCCCTGGTGCATCTGAATTGGCGGGCACCCCCTGTCCCATCATCCTGGGCTGGAGCAGCCACACCCATACCCAACCTCGCCTCGGAAATGCTCCTCCGCTCCCAGCATGCACCGCGTCCAACTACAACTCCCGGCATCCTCGAGCCTCCTCCTGGAGCCAATGGGCAGCCAGCGTAACGGTCGCCCCGTTGCATGCCGGGCGGCGTAGTCTTGCAAGCGCTGGGAGGTGGAAAAAGGCCTCGGCCGAAGCCCGAGACTGGGTTGAGCGGCGGAGCCCGGTCCTGAGCGCCTTCTCCGGGCCTCCCCGCGGCGGCCTTCGCCTCCTCCCCCTCCTCCTCCTCGCCCACCGCGCCTCGCCTCCCGCGCGCCAAGATGGCGGCCGAGGTGGACTTCGGCGACCGCGAGCTCTTCCAGCAGCTGGAGGCCGACGAGGAGGCGCCCTCCGCCCTGAGGCCCGGCCCGGCGGAAGAAGCGGCGGAGCTCCGCGAGCGGCTGAGGGACTCCGAGGAGACCGTTAGGCAGCTGCGGGCGGAGAATATCCAGCAGCCGGGCGAGGGCAGCACCTGACGGGCCGGGCGGGGAGCGGCCTTCCTGCGGGAGAGGGAGGCGCCGCTGAGGGAGGGGACCCGCGCAGGCTTCGCTTCTCCCCCCCCCCCCCCCCACCCCCGGTCCCCAATGGGATTTCTTCCCCCAATCCGGATTAAGTACAGGCAGTCCTCGATTCGCGACCACAACGGAGCCCAGCCTTTCCGTTGCAAAGCGAGACGTTTGCTGAGTGAGTTTTGCCCCGTTTCACGACCCCTTTTTTTTGCCACCGTCGTTAAGTGAATCACTGCAGCCCTTCAATTGGTTGCTCAGGGAATTAGGCTTACCCGTTGACTTTTGCCGGACAGAAGGTTGCAAAAGGGGACTGCCTGATCCCTGGGATGCAGCAACTGTCATAAGTACAAGCCAGTTGCCAGGCATCCTACTTTTGATCCAGTGACCAGGAGGATTGCTGTGAAAAACGGTCACAAATCACTTTTTCAGGCGCCGTTGTAACTTTGAACGGCCACTAAATGGATGGTTGCAAGTTGAGGACTGCCTGTCGATAGGAAACCCGGTTGGGGTACTTCGGGCCTGTCCTCTCTCTCAGCCCAACCCACCTCACAGGGTTGTTGTTTGGGGGGCAAAGTAGGCAGGTGGGTTTGTTTAACAGATTTATAGACATCCTCTCTCACTCCCAGAGTATCCCTGGGTGGAGTACAATGAAAAACATAACCATGTATACATATTACATCTCATTAAAAGGCATATAAGTATTTATAGGAGGCAGTTGCAACAAGGATGGAATAATTTAAAGCTAGATAGGTGGAGGGAAGAGCCTTCAATGGGCTAATTTATAAAGTGATAATAGAGGGATAATAATACAATAACAAACAACAACAAGAACAATAATAATGCCACTTTGCTGGGATCTGTTCGTGTAATCCGCCAATACATCACGCAGTCCTAAACACTTGAGAAGTTTTCGACTAGGGATTGTGATACAAAACCCAGCATAGTTATCTTGTTTGTTTTTTGTGAAAATAATAATAATAATCATCATCATCATCTAATCCCAAGTTTGTGTGGCAAGTTCCAGGCGAGTAGCCAAAGCCAGGTCTTCAAATTCTTTTCAAAGGCCAGGAGGGTGGGGAATTAAGTATTTTCTCTGCCTTGAGTCATATGTTAAAAATAATGGGATAAAATAATGAGGACTGGAGAGAGTTGCAGGGATTCCCCTGGCTTCACTCCCTGTTATTGTGCCGTGCAATTCCTTAATCATTTTCACATCAGGAACTCAGAAGAAAACTGAACATCCTGACTCGACCAAGGTAGGTTTCACCCTCTCCATTATTTGCAATGTTTTGAACAAGAAGTGGGTCCTTAGGTAGATTTGTAATGGTTGGTCAAGGCTATGAAACGCATTGAGAAGAGATCCAGGAAGGAAACCAGAGCTGGTCTCTCTCCAAGCTCCCAAAACTATCTTCTTAGTGTAAAAACAACAGAGGGTAAAAGAGAAAATGAAAGAGTTGTAATATCTGATGAATCGACACCACAGTTATTCGCTAAGGGTCTGGAAATTACTTTCATACTGTAAACTTTATGCTTTATTTTTTTTAGTGGACTAACAGTGGATGACTGTAAACTTGATGGACCCTTGTTACAGATCTTGTTCATGAATAATACCGTTTCAAAGTGAGTACCTTCCTTGTGTTGCTTGAGTTCATTTTCAGAATGGTATACCTCTTAGACTAGAAGACTTGTGGATCTAGATTTACAAGTGTGCTGGATTCCCGCTAAAGGAGATTTTCCATTGGTAGCTGCCCATGTTTAGTAGATTCGTGTTTTTCATTGTTTAAAAAAAAAAGGAAGGAATTTGTAGTACGTTTTTGCAGTAAAGGAGAGTGGACATTTAAAAAAAAAAATAGTTTCCCTTTGTCCAAGATTTTAAATGTTTGAGATTCATTTCTATATGCAGTGTGGAAACAAATCTGAATTTGTTCCATGCTAGCAGAAATCTACCAATATTTTTTTTTAAATTACCTGTATAGCTTTCGCTTTGGAAATTCAATCCACCTGTTCTTTTGTACGAGAGAAGTTTGGGGCACAAAAAACGTTAGCATTCATTATGTATAAATGCAGCATCAGAAATCCTTAGTCTTGTCCTGTTGGCTTTAAAAAACTAAACAGAACAATCGATCCGTTCTATATTCTGATAATCTGTTATATAGGCAATATCATCAAGACATAGAAGAGTTTGTATCCAGTTTAGTTCAGAAATACGAGGAGCAGCAGAGGAGTGAATTGGACAAGACCTGCTTCAATGTTAAGCCGCAGGTATTTATCTCTTGATGGGCTTATTCTTTTATAAAAGTTCTTTCCATCATGCGATGAAAGATAACTCGTCTGTCTGTCTTAGAGACCACCTATTTCTGTTCATGGGGCTGGTCCCTCACAAACCCCTCACTGTGCCGATAACTGCTCGACTTGATTCAAGAACGTTGATTTAACTTTGTAAACTTGGTTTTCATTCTATTAGCCTTCTAGCTTTGTCCTGGAAGAGGATCAAAAAGTAACAAGCTCAAATGTGTCCAAAAAAGTCAAAGAGGCTTTTAGCGTAAGTTCCTTTTTCTTTCTGTGCTGTGAGTGGTTTGCGTTTTTTCTAGTTTATGGCATTAGGAAATGATTGGTAACTGATAAAAGAGACCCATGTAAATGTCTTTTCTTTTTTTTTTCTTTCTTTTTCTTAGTCCTGTAACTTTGTTTTTCCATTAATTGATTGAATGTATAAATACTACTTGGGAATCTCCATATTCTCAAGCCATTTATTTAATGTACTTAATTATGTCAGAACTTGATATTTGTGAAATATTTAAGTACATTTTTAGTATGCTATTTTAGTCTGATTAAAATACTGACACTTTTTGACTCTTTCTCCAGGTTATAGGAAGTGTTCTCTATTTTACCAATTTTTGTCTTGATAAACTGGGGCAGCCTATATTAAATGAAAATCCTCAGCTCACAGATGGATGGGAAATACCCAAGTATCCTATTTAGTTAACTGTTTTTCCCTTTCCCTGTCAAGCCTTGCTACTTAATGCAATAAGTCTGAAACAGATTGGGTTCCATTTATATATCTTCCACATCTTAGGGCCCTAAGTCTGTCATCAATTGTTTGAATCAAATGTTTCCGCGGGGGGGAATTTCCTGCTCTGATTTAAAACGCTGTCACATTTCTGGAAAGGCAGGGGGCTGTCATTAACAGAATAACAGAGTTGGAAGGGACCTTGGAGGTCTTCTAGTCCAACCTGCTCAGGCAGAAAACCTAGACCATCTCAGACAAATGGATATCCAACATCTTTTAAAAAAACTTCCAGTGTTGGAATGTTCACAACTACTGGAGGCAAGTTGTTCCACTGATTTATTGTTCTCACGGTCAGGAAATTTCTCCTTAATTCTAGATTGCTTCTCTCCTTGATTAGTTTCCATCTGCTGATGATCCATTGATCAGACAAAATTTGCAGAGAAAAGAAACATCCAGTCTTGAGACTGATAAACCTTCAGTCAGATGTTTTATCATAATGTAGCTGATAATAACTCTGATTGTGCCCTCTTCTGAAAACCAATTTGTGTCTTTTGGGTGGTGGCTAATATTATCTAGACATGCATACAAACCCTATGATTGCATTTTGCTTGATACGATGGCAATTCCTTATTGAATTCTTAAGATACCAGCAAGTTTTCACGCAGATTCTTTCTCTAGATGGGCAAGAGATACAAGTAAAGTCTAAAAGGTTTGTATTTCTTTAAATCTACAAATGTTTCTGGTTTTATTTTTAAAAGTATGTCTTGTGATAGGTTAGAAAGGATTAGGGAGGGAAAGTAAAAAGCCCAGTTTACTTTGTAATGTAAATTTTTCAGTTTGACTTTAAAGGTGAAATGGAATATGAGCACGTAAAAAAACAAACACAGATAACATTTGTATCCTCAAATCCCCACAGAGATATAAAACAAGAGTTTTGATGGCTACCTGTCTCTTTCAAGAGAATCAGAATCTTGGAAACACCTGTCACAGGTGGCCTATAGAATGTATATTTTTATCTCAGTTATAGGTTCTGTCTTCCAGCGCAAAACTCTGATAAAACGCTTGGTTAACTGTTGAAAAATCCCAGCTGTGAATATTCCTTGGCAGCAATGCAAAAGTTGTGGTGCAACACTTAAGAGCCACACTGTTCTTTGCTGCCTGCCTCACAGTCGACTTAGAATTTCTCCTGGCATCCATCATTTGACATCCAATTTTGCTTGGTTGTTGATATATTCAGTACCATTTCATCGCTGCGCTGGGTGTGACTTTTTCCACCTTTAAAGCTGTAATTGGGCATTAGTTGATTTGCTCCTTTTCTGATGCTACGTCTAACAATGCACCAAGAAGAGTAGAGCAAGTTTCTTTTTTTTTAAAAGTCCCTGAGTGCCAACAGCTCTAATGTGTGCTGTGTGTCTGTGTGTGTTTTTTTAATAAAACAGGCCCAAATCTCATTGTTTCAACTGTGGCTCTGAAGATCACCAGATGAAAGATTGCCCACAGGTAAAGACATATTTCAGTCTGTGCTTTTGGCAGCCTTACTGGCGGCGGCTATCGGGGCTTGGTAGCTTCCTGACGGTCTTTGTTTTTCCCTCCTATCTTAATTTTAGCCACGAAACTCTGCCCGCATAAACGAAAAAAGAAAAGCTTTTATGGAGGCCTGCGGGGAAACAGGCAGCCCAAATTTCCAGCAGAGGTACCACGCGGATGAAGTGGAAGAGCGGTTTGGACGCTTCAAACCAGGAATAATCAGGTACAAGTAGTCACAACAGTCACCATTGAGTCCACAATTTCAAACTGCAAATTCGCAATAAAGGGGCTGTCAGGACTCCAACAAATCCAGCCCCATTCGAATCATAAGTCTCTAGCCTCATCTCAGAGAAAAGAAAATTGATTTATTAGAAGTGGCCATGTTGGCGTTACCTGGATGCAGCCGACACTAAAATACATCCTTCATTTCCCCCTTGACCCTGGTCCTCCCCCCACCCCCTGGATGTATATTCTCCAATGGGACACATCCATAGCCAAGAGTCACCAATCAGGCTCTCCAGTAATATTCTTGAGCTCCGACAACTTTGGGCTGCCAGGGCGATTATCTAGGAACTTAAGGAATGCACTGTTTTCCCCCACTCCCTTTTTCTGGCAGCTAAAAAGCCCAAAGGGAGTATCTTTTTAGTTGACAGGGACACAGATAAAGAAACAACACATCCAGCGACTTCTTTACCTGACTCTAACGTGCACGATCCTTGCGTTTTCTCAGTCGGCAGTCTGAAACCAACATCGCCAAAAACCGTGGCTCAAATTTCTTTGTTTTTAAACTGACCTCCCTTACCCCCCACCCCCACCCCACCCCCGCAGCGAGGAACTCCAGGATGCCCTCGGTGTCACCGAGAAGACGCTTCCTCCCTTCATCTATCGCATGCGGCAACTGGGTTATCCTCCAGGCTGGCTGAAAGAGGCAGAGATGGAGAAATCTGGCTTAACGCTCTACGACGGAAAAGGTAAAAGGGAGATTCTCCCATTTGCTTGTACAAGCTGGTATCCTGGGAGCAGGCCCGACATCTTAAAGTTTGCCCAGGTTGAAAAACATTGATAGGTTGTTCACCTCAAGAGTTGGGAGGGACCGTAGAGGACTGACGTTGCCTTTCTTACAGCGTCGCCCAGCAGTGAGGCAGAGGAGGAATCCCACCAGCAGAATCCCCGGGTCACTTACGATCTCTCCAAGTTGATCAACTACCCAGGTTTTAACATGTCCACCCCAAGTGGGGTCGCAGACGTAAGTTGCCCGTTTTTTTGCTGTCATCCCGCCCTTCCACCTGGGCCTTTACCGACTTGTGCAGTGCACCGCAGTCACGTGATCAGCATATATATAACGTTTTTGGCTGGAAAACGTTTCGGGTATTTTTGCTTTCGTTTTCCAGCAGGAAACAAACAAACAAAAAATAATAATCATCTTTGCAGACAATGGATTCCCATAACAACTGCGGCGAGAAAGGCATTTAAATTGGTCGTGTGGTGGCCTGCTTAACAACCCACATGGTCATAAGCCGAAGAATACCTGTAGCTCCCATTTTGTCTTAAGTGCCTTTGGGAAGGACTGCCGGAAAAACAATCTGTGTGTTTTATCACAGCATATCATACCCTTGATGAGGGCTCCTCCTTTCTTGCCTCGGTTCTTTTGATTAAAGATAAGACAGCAAAGCTCTGTTGCGTGTATATAAAGCTTGGACATTTATTCTTTGATTTCCTAATGGTTTCTTTCCTTTTTTTGTGGGGGGCGGATGCAGGAATGGCGGATGTTCGGCTCGGTACCTCTTCAGCCGTCCCAGCAGAAAGAAATTTTTGCTCATTATCTTTCCACTTACCATTCGGTGAATATTTTTAAGCACGCTGCTTTGCTTCCCCGGAACAAAACCTTTATTTTGGGGGGTGGGTTTTCCCCCTCTGGGGTTCTTACTTTCTCTCCTTTGTTTCTGACCCCTTTCCCCCCCTTCAGGCCAATCTCAAATCCAGGCCCAAAAGGCCCCCCTCTCGCCAGAGCTCCCATCATTCGAAACGGCAGAAAGGAAGCAGCGTTGAAATCCCACCAGCTGACATGGAGATCGACTCTGGTATCTTTCCTCTTAAAACCCCCGTGGCCGTTTTAAAAATTCCCCCCCTCCCATTTTGCTTTCCCCCCCCTTTCCATTCCACGAGCTCCTGGTGGAAGCCCACCGACGCCTATCCGAAGCGCCACCCCGCTTAGCTCTGCCCTGAGTGAGGCAGGCGAGTGATTAAAGCCGTTGCTCTTCTCCTCCTTTCAGATCTAGAAATGCCCCCTAGCCCTCCTGCTTACGACGGCTTCCACTTCCAGCCTCCGTTGCCTCCGGGGTCTCCGCTGACCGCCACTCCCCCCCCTCTGCCGCAGGGCACCCCGCCAGGGACCCCCCCCAGCCTGACTTCTCCTCCACTTCAACTGCTGTCTTGTGTGCCAGCAGCCCTGCCTCGCGACACCCCGCCTTGGACGCCGTCTGCCCCGCGGCCGGAGGACTCGGCCATGGATGAAGATACCTTGACCCTGGAGGAGCTGGAGGAGCAGCAGCGGCTGATTTGGGCGGCCCTCGAGCAGGCGGAGAGCGCCAACAGCGACTCGGACCTCCCAGCCGGGACTCCCATGGCCGGCAATTCTGGGACGTCGACCCCCTGCAGGACGGAGCCCTCCGTTCCCCTGGAGGAAGCAGCCCGCCAACCGCCAGAGGTCTCCGAAGCTGAGCCTGAGCCCTCCGTTCCCCTGGAGGAAGCAGCCCCCCAACCGCCAGAGGTCTCCGAAGCTGAGCCTGAGCCCTCCGTTCCCCTGGAGGAAGCAGCCTGCCAATCGCCAGAGGTCTCCGAAGCTGAGCCCAAGCAGGTACCCCAGGCTGCCGAAGAGCCTGGTCCTCAACAAGCCATTGAACTAGTGGATTTGACAGCCGAGGCGGAAGCCATTCCCACAGACTCTGAAGGCCGAGACCAAACCTGCTCCTCGGATCCCGCCGGCTGCCTGAATCACAGCGACGCTCCCGCCCTTCCCAATGCCAGCGAGTCTCCTTCCTCCAAGCCTCCTGGCCTCGTTCCCGACATGAGCAAGTTTGCTGCTGGGATCACACCTTTCGAATACGACAACATGTCGGAGTCCACCGGGACTTACCTCCGGATAAGGAGCGTGCTGAAAAAATACCCGAGAAGCCAGCTGAAGAATAAGAAGCTTTCCCTTTAACAGCCCAACTCGGGCCAGGGACAAACAAACCAAAAAACAAACAAACAAACCAGGATTCGGATGCTTTCCCCTTAAAGCAGGGGTCTCCAACCTTGGCCACTTTAAGACTTGTGGACTTCAACTCCCAGAATTCCTCAGCCAGAAAGGTTTCTTCCCCCCCCCCTTGCTGAAGTCAAGATATATTACATTTACCGCATTCCCACCATCTATTATTAAGAAAAGTTTATGAAAGAAATGTGATAAAGCTGCCTATTGACATTTCTTCTTGTCCTATCCGTGCTGAATTCTGGGTAACTCTTTGCTGGCTGAGGAACTCTGGGAGTTGAAGTCCCCAAGTCGTAAAAGTGGCCGAGGTTGGAGACACCCCTGCCTTAAAGCACAAATCAAGAGCGAGAGAAGGGAGGTGTTGTGTTCTTCCTGAAACCGTTTTTGTTTTTGTTTTTAAAGAAAGTCTGCGGGGGGGGACGGGCTTCCATTTTGACCTCGAAGCAGGACTGATCTTCCACAAATACACAAAAGATTTGTGAATCTTCTCCAACCCTGCATTAAATATTCCCCTGAATTTTCCCCTCTTCAACTTGGGGTCAAATACATCCTTGCCTCTCTCTACCAACCAAGTTTTTTTGTCTCTGCCAAGCTTTTGCTTTTGCATAGGGAGCTGGTAGTTCTCAAAATACATTTACTGTCCTTTGGAAAGGACCTTGGTTTTTTGTTTGTTTTATTAAATGCTTCCCCTCAAAATTCTTGTGGCGATCCGACGGGAATAATCAGGAATCAATCAACCACTCTCTTTCCATCCTTTTTGAAAAGTTTTTTTTTAAAGTGATTTAGGAGATTTTAATTTTTTTAAAAACAAACAAACAAACACGACACCGGCTTTTTGGTTTTGGTAACATCGTCATCTTTGAATATGCTGTACATATATTTGTGCTTGTGTACAGGGGTTTAATAAAAAGATTTTTTTTTTCATAAGTTTGTGTACTTATGTAAACCTTGAGAAGAAGAGTTTTAGGAAATCTACTCCTGGAAAAAAAAAACACCAAACTTTCAGCTTTATTGAGGAGAAATATTGTGTTCTTTGTGCTATTTTTCCCCCCTCCATGCCTTTTTAAGGGAGTTACTGCAAAGGAAATTTTGCAATCAAAAATATTGATGTAAAGCCATAAACAACACTCCCTGGTTTAATCCTCCATGCCTAGAGTAATTAGCTGCTTATTCAGAGTCCTAGTTGTTTCCCTTGTTTGTTTCATCACAGGTTTCTTGCAAGATATTTAGATGGCTCTCTCTCCATTCTCCCAAATTGTTTCGATCCGGAAAAAGGTGTGTATAATTATTCTTTCCCACCCACCTCCAGTAGCCTTGGGTGACCCTCCTCCTGACACCCAATGACCCCGTAAGATACCCTACGAATTGAATTCTCTCCCCTGTCCTTGAAGACCTGGGATAATCCAAAACGGGCCACGGTTTGAGAAAAATAAGTTCACGCCCTCACTTTCCAGTGACGAAGCCACGCCAAATATTTCATTGCGAATTCAAACGTGCGGCTTTAATTAAAACATTCAAGACTGGTAGGGTGGAGCTAAAGCAAAGCACGGTCGGCCTGAATGGGTGGCTGGCTTTAAGAACTGGAGTTTTTAATTGAATGGATGTGTGTTTTGAGCTTCGTTTAAACTTGCCCGGCCTCTGACTGGCTTGCCTGGCCTGGAGAGAGCTCTGTGCAGGCCTCTCCTTGTGGTTCATATTGTTTCCTATCTTCTTTGAGCGCACTGTCTCCTAACCCTGTACAACGGGAGTTCCCAAAGCAAAGGGCCACCTACCGCACTGAGTCCAGGGCTCTCCTCCAACCTTGGCCACTCTTAAGACTTGTGGACTTCAACTCCCAGAATTCCCCAGCTCTTGCCCAAGTTGGGGGCAGCAGGAGGGAAACCTGGGAAAATCAGGTTTCTCCAGGTGGGAAGAAGATGTAATGGGAGAGGAAGAAAGGAGAGGAGGAAGGGAAGAAAAAGGAAAGACAGCACAGTTGGAAGGGACCTTGTAGGTCATCTAGACCAACCCCCCACCCAAGCAGGACACCCGACACCATCTCTGACAGGTGGCAGTCCAGTCTCTTCTTGAAAGCTTCCAGGGATGAAGCTCCCACAACTTCTGAAGGCAAGCTGTTGGAAGGAAGGAAGGAGGGAGGGAGGGAAGGAAGGAAGGAAAAGAAAGAAAGGAAGGAAGGAAGGAGGGAGGGAAGGAAGGAAGGAAAAGAAAGAAAGGAAATGAAGAAAGATGGAAGGGAAGGAAGGAAGGAAAAGAAAGAAAGAAGGAAAGGAAGGAAGGAAGGAAAAGAAAGGAAAAGAGAAAAGAAGGAAGGGAAGGAAGGAAGCGAAAGAAAGGAAAAGAAAAAAGATGAAAGGAAGGAAGGAAAAGAGGAAAAGAAAAAAAAAGATGGAAGGGAAGGAAGGAAGGAAAAGAAAGGAAAAGAAAAGAAAGATGGAAGGGAAGGAAGGAAAAGAAAGATGGAAGGGAAGGAAGGAAGGAAAAGAAAGGAAGGAAGGAAGGAAGGAAAAGAAAAGAAAAAAGAAGAAAGATGGAAGGGAAGGAAAAGAAAAAGGGTGGGAAAGAAAGAGGAAAGGGGCAAAGAAGAGGACAGAGGAGGAGAGGAAGGAGGCAGAGTGGAAGGGAGGAGGAGGAGGAGGAGGAGGAGGGAAGGCCAGAGGGAGGAACGGGAGGAGGGGAAGAGGGGAGACGGGGCGGCGGGCAGCCTCCCTCGGCCCGCCCTTCCGCAGTCCCCGCCTGGCGGCCGCCCCTGCCGCCGGGAGGGAGCCGCCAGCAGCGCCGCCGCGCCTCGCCTCGCCTCGCCTGGCCGGAGGAAGAGGCGGAGGAAGCAGGGCAGCAGGCGGGCGAGGGAGACGGAGCCGCCGCCGCCGCCGAGGGTGAGGGGCTTGCGGGCGAGTCGGGGGGTCTTGGCCGCTGGCGGCCCCCCGGAGGAGGGTCGGAGGGGGCGCCTTTGTCGGGTCCTCGGGCGGGTGCGGGTGGGGGGGGCGAGCGGGGCCTTTGGGAGGCGCCCCCTCCCCAATGCCTGGGCCCCGCAGCCCCCTCCCCACTTTGGGGGCTCCTTCCCTCCCTCTCCCCCCTTTGTTTCTGAGGGGATGGGAGACCCCTGGATCACCCCGGCCTCCCCGCCCCGCTTGAAAAGGGGCTGGAAATGGAGAGGGGGGGGTGTCTTTCCTTTTGGGGTGCAGGACCCCCTTTTACACCCCCCATCCCCCCACCCTTGGAGAGGAGCTGCTGGGCCTCAGAATATTGGGGGGGGGGGGGGGGGGAGCCAGGACAATGGGGGGAGACGGGGCCGGGATGGGATGGGGGGGGGGTGTCTGAGGAAGCCCAGGGTTGGCTGCCAATTGTTCATTTGGGGAGGGGGGAGACGCCCGTTTCCTGAAGGGAATTGGGGTGAAAAAGCTGCAGGCAGAGAATGTATTGTTTCCCCCCACCCCTCAGGATGGGGTGCGTGTGAAAGGGGAGCTCTGCTTTTTAGGAGGGGGGCTTCATTTTGGGGTGTCTGGGAGGGTGTGGAGAAGATTTGCCCCCCCTTTTTTCCCCGGGGGGGGGAGACTCCCCCACCTGGCCTGTGAAAAGAGGGTGAGGGGAGCTTATGGCTGGGAGGATTTGGATTCGGTCGCTTTTGGGGGGCCCTGGGGGTTGCCCCGAGTTCTGCTTCCCCCCCCCCCCCCAAATGGGCGCCCTGTGAATCTTTTGAGGGGGGGGGGGGGGGGTGTCTGGTGCTCTCTTTGGAGATCAACCGGTTGTCTGAAAAGGGATCACAACTAGATTTCTCCTGCGTTTTTTTGAGGCCCTAACTCCAGGGTTTCTCAACTTTGGCAAGTGGAAGCCGGGTGGACTTCAACTCCCAGAATTCCCACGGCTGACTGGGGATTCTGGGAGTTGAAGTCCACTCCTCTGGGAAGCGAGGCCTGCCAGGGCCCCCAGGTGCAATTAGGGGCATCCAGAAGGCCAATGGAAGGAGGCATGGCGGGCAGAGACGCCGGAGGGATGCAAACCAGGGAGGGGCAGGCCGAGTCCCAAGAGTGCCCTTCCTCCTCAAGGGGGTCGCGGGGGGGGGGGGGGGGGGGGGGGGGGGGGGGGGGCTAGGGCAAAAGAAAAGAAAAAACCCCTTTCTTTAGTTTAACCCCCCTTGATCTGTGGGAAGATTGTGGTGCAAGTCATCGGATCTGCTGCCATTTTGGATGACATCTGTGCTGGAAGGAAAAGAAAAGAAAGGGAAGGGAAGAGAAGGAAAGAGGAGAAAGGCAAAAATAAGGGAGAGGGAGGGAAGGAAGGAAGAAGAGGGAAGAAAGGAAGAAAAAATAAGACGGAGGGAGGGAAGGAGTGGAAGAAAGGGAAGGCAGAGAGAAGGAAGGAAAAAGTAAGGGAGGAAAGAAAGGAACAGGAGGAGGGAAGGAAATAAGGGGAGGAAGGAAGAAGGAAGGAAGGAATAAGAGAGAAGAAAGGAAGAAAAAACAAAGGGAGGGAAGGAAAGGAGGAGAAACCCCAGAGAAGAGCCCCCCCATGCCGCCAGACCATCAGCCCCCAGGGCCATCCCCCCCCCCCCCCCCCCCCCTGGGGCCGGGCGAGCTGCCCGGGGGGAGCCAGCCCCCCCTAAGGGGGGGGGGGGGGTGTAGGAGATGCCGCAATCAACTGGTGTGCGAGTTCTCCCATGACATCGGTGTGTGGGTGTGTGTGTGTGTGGAAGCCTCATTGGCCAAAGGCGGCAGGCGACAGGCTGACTTCCTTCCTGCCACAAGGTTTTAAAAGGTTTGTTTGGGACGTCCTTGCCCAGGACGGCCAGAATTTGGAGGAGGGGGAGCCCAGGTACAGGATAACAAATGGCGTGCCTCGATTTGCCGGTTGCTTAAATGCAAAAATGTGCTTTTGTGTGTGTGTGTGTTGTGTGTTTCAGGGGACCTTTTCTTGTGACTTCGCTTTATTCTGTCACTCTTGGGATACCATTTTCACTGATGTTTTGCAACACCAGATGAAATCATTCTGTTGGTGTTCAGTAGAAGCCGGTTCGTTGTTTATTTGTGTTTTTTTTTTTCTTCTACAGCTCCTTTGTTTTTTGTGTTGGTAAGAGAAGATTTTCCTTTTCCTTTTTTTTTTTTTTTTGCAAAGTAGATTTTTGTGTCTTCTAAACCATAAGGCGCATTTTGTGCAGAAGGTAAATATGACCAAAAGCTATAGGATAGCCTCGTTAATGATATTTAGGCTCATGAGATAAGAATCCAAAATCAGTGAAATTTGAAGGAATACAAGCTGAGAAATGGATTTTGCAATAAATAAAAACAGGCAAAGCAAATTGCTGTGCTGTATTATATCATCTTTTAACCTCATAGATCTAGAGAGAGATGCTACGAAAAGAACATGTTTGTTTCCTGTTGCACTTTGAAATGGAGGTACCTCTGTATTGTGCCAGAATTTTTTAAAAAATGGGTTTATCTGGCCTTTATAGTTTGGGGGCGGCCGATATCTTTAGCTAGTCAAGAGAGAGAAGGCATGAGAAATTTAATTTTCCCAAGGGAAGTTAAGTAAGAAACAGTCTAAACAAAATTAAGTGTTTGGAAAGCTGCAATTAACCTTGTAGTTGAACTGTTTTAAGGTTTTGCATTTAACCTCAACCATTTTGGATGACAATTACCAGAAATATTCTCATTTTCCCCCCCCCCCCAGTCTACTAAGGAAACGTGTTACACTTTCACGCTTGCGCTATTCCTGTCTTGGTGTCTTCATAAAACCGAACAGTTTTCTAAATAAGTGGAGTTGTTTTGCACCAATGAAGTAGAATCGTAGCTTTAAAAGCTGCTAGGTTGGATTCTGCGGGGTGAAAGGTAGATTTGAGCTCCGGATGCAGAGGCAATTCCACACCCATCTTCATTAGCATCGATGAAATCAAAATACAGGTTTTGTAAC